GGATTTTCAGCGCGCGCGGCCGCGGGAGGAGGGGGCGGGACCCGGCTGGAACCCGCCCCGCCCCGCGCGCACAATAGGGGCCATGGGGACACCGCGCCCCGCCCCGCCCCGCCCCGCCAGGCGCGGGCAGTCGAGCGCCGAGCACCCCGAGGCTGTGAGCCGCGCGTGACAGCCCGCGCGTGACGCGGCGCGTGAGCACGGAGCGGGGGGGCACGCTCGTGCGTGACAACGTGTGCGGGGTGCGACACGCGTGTGTGACCCTGTGTGGGGCGGCGGGGTGTGACATGCGTGCGTGACAGCGTGACACATGCGTGTGACTGCGTGGGGGGACGGTGGGGTGTGGCACGTGTGTGGCAGTGTGACATCCGTGTGTGGCTGTGCGGGGCAACACACGTGTGTGACAAGGTGACGTACGTGGGGCAGCGGGGCATGGCACACGTGTGCCAGCGCAACACGCGTGTGTAGGGTGCCGGGGTGTGACACGCGTGTGACCGCGGGCTGTCCGCGAGTGCACGGCCCTGCCTGGCCAGGGTGACGGTGTGACAGCGACACCATGTGTGACACCACTCTCACGTGTTCAAGCGCCCGTGGGAGTGTTGTGTGCAGCGCTCCCTCCCGTCCCCAGGTGGCGCCGGGGGGACGTGGTGCTCCCTGGGGACACCCTGCCAGCCCCCCTGGGGTCACCCCCACCCGGGACCCCCCGGTGGGACACGGTGGCTCGAGGTTGGGTTTGGGCAGAGAGGAGGGGTGCTCCTCAGGGATGGGCACAAGCCCACGGGTGCCCTGGAAGCTGGAAGGATGGGGGGCACCTCCAGACCTGCCCAAGCCCTTCAGGGCACACCTGACAAGGAACCCTGGGGTGGCCCCTGGACACCCCCAGAGCAGAGCTGTGGGGACTGGGGGACAGTGGGGGGGCTGAGGGTGTCACCCGCCAACAGCCCGTCTTTGGGGGATGCTGCGGGGGTGAGGGTGTCACCCACTGACTGCCCCTCTTTCAGCCCCGGGCAGCTGCACGGCGCAAGGCAGACAAGGACTCCAGGCAGCAGCATGGGGCTTGACAAGGTCTATAGTTAAGGAGGGGGGAGGTGAGCGGGGACAGATGGATGGACGGGCAGACACATGCTGCTGCCGCTGCCTGGCGCTCAGGCCAGGTCCTTGAAGGCGTCGAGGTTGAAGGCCGTGTCGAGGAGCCGCTGCAGCTCTGTCAGATGGGTTTTCTTGTTGCCGGTGGCGGGGGCAGCTGCTGGCTCCCGTCCTGCATACCTGTGAGGAGAAGAGAGGGATGGGGTGGGGTTGCACCCCATCACCCCCCCCCAGCACCACAGCGACCCCCGAGTCCCTACCAGACAGGCTTGGCGCGGTTGATGGTGGTGCGGAGCCGGGGTTTGACGTAGTCGTAGTAGCCCTGGTTCTTGTGCTCCTCCTGGCACCACACCAGCTCAGCTGCCGGGTACTTCTCGGCTTCCCGCTGGAGGAGGTCGAAGGGGAAGGGGGAGAGCTGCAGGGCAGACAGGGGGGTGTCACGGGGGCCACGGCACCACCGGCCCGCAGGCTTGGAGGCAGCCGGACCCCACTCACCTGCTCCACCCTGGTGATGGCCACGTCGGCCTCCATCTCCCGGGCCTTGCGTTCACGGGTCAGGTCGTAGTAGACTTTGCCAGTGCAGAACAGCACCCGCTTCACCTGCGTGGGGTTCTGCGCTGCAGGGCCGCTGTCAGGGATGACACGGAGGAAGTGGGTGCCTGCAGGGGAGAGGAGACAGCACCATCACCCTGCACCTCTGTCCCCCACCAGCCCCTGGCACCCCAGCTGGGAGCGGGTCTTGCTCCCAGTACAAACCATCACGACTGTATGCCGCTTGGGGCTGCCATGGCCCTGCTGCACTGCTCCAGCAGGAAGCAGCTGCCAATGGAGAAATGGAGCCGTGTTTCCCCAGGGTGCCAGACTCGGCACTAATGAGGGGTGACTGATTTCCTGGGTATGTATAGCTGTAGCCAGCACACCCTGGGGGCGAGCAGGGAGCAGGGAGGGAGGCAGCTGCGTCCGCACCGGCACAGAACTCCCCCACACGGGCTGTCTGTGGTGCCCCAGCCAAGCCGCGCTTGGCTGCTCTTTGGTGTGTGGTGGCTGCTGCCAGGTGCACTTTACCCGAGGCAGCCGGATCCTGCCCTTCACCCTTCATCTTGTGGCATGGGGGAGGAAAAAACAGCTCTGTGCTGATAGTACCTGGCAGCATGTCGTCAAAGCTGGAGCGGGCTTCAGGGTGGCGCAGCAGTGACTTTGGAGTGAAGATTATCAGCTGGAAGGGGAGCAGAGGAAGAGGAAGGCGGTTCAGCCTCGCCAGAAACACCTCCCCTGCAGGCAAAGGCCAGAGCACCAACCTGCTCGACGTCCCCCTGCCTCAGTGCAGCCAAAGCCCCCTCAGATTTGTTCCATGCTCTGCCAGACTGGGCAGCAGTTTCTCACAGCACCAGCTTTCCCAGTCTGGGTTTCCTCCAGGGAAGCGGCTGAGGTGCTGCCGGGGCCCTGCCTGCCCCATGGCACCGTTATGTTATTTACCCCTGCCAGCACCCAACACCTCTGACCTCCCCGTGGAGCGCAGGAAGGGGTTGCAGCCACCCTGGCAGCACGGCATGTACCGAGCCAACCCTGGACAGCAAGAGGTCCTTGGCCTCGGCAGAGGCAAACTGCTCGTGTTTGCTGCCAAGGGGCAAGAACAAGCCAGGCCCACGTCCCGTCCCCAGGCTGCCCTGGCCTGGCACCGAGCCAGGCGCGGAGCAGCCAGCACTGACCGGTTTGCGGAAAGGCAGGAGGATCTGGCGCCGGAGGACGTGGAAGAAGTTGGCCGGAGTGGAGCAGTTCACGACGATCCAGTTGCAGTCATAGAGCTGGCGCACATCAAAGTCGTCCAGTTTCTGCCCCACCAAGTGCGGCCAAGGGGATTGCAAGAAACACAAGGTGCCTCTTGGCCTCACAGCTCCAGCAGTGGGGAGAAGAGCCCATCCCATCCCCCAGCTCTCCCTTCCTCCTTCCTTTCCCCCTCCAGAGCACATGGAGACCTGGAGAGGCTTCAAGTCTGTGTGGGGGCACCTTGGGGAGCCAGCAGCCCCCTCCCACACCACTTTGGAGGCCTGTGCACTGCGCAGCAGCGCCAGGGCCAGCAAAGGTGCAGCCTGAGCACCGCATTCAGCCCCTTTCCCCAAACCCTCACAGCTGCAGCATGAGCCCAGGGCTTCCTGCACCTCCTGCTACTGGCTCCCAACGCCCGCCCCAACCCCGCACTGCTGCACTGAGCCCCCCCGGGTGCTCTACCCCCTCCCCACAGCAGGGCAGCGGTCAGATCCAGCACACAGGAGGGTTGGGCTGAGCTCAGTGCAGCTGCCACTCACGGGGAAGACATCGGGATCATCGTTGCACATCTGCAAGAATCGCTCTGGGCGGGCGGAGGAGTGCTCGGGACCCTGCGGGACCAAGGCAGAGGCAGAGTGAGCAGGGCACAATACAGGTGCGAGGACTCAACGGCACAGCTGCACCGTGAGCAGTTCTACCTGCAGCTGCTGCCCTCAGCTCTGCTGCTGGTGCAAGCCAGGCAATGGGCACCCTTGGGTGCCTGTGAGCTGGGAGGGTGCTTACCATGCCCTCCATGCCATGGGGAAGCAGCAGGACGATGCCGTTCTGCCTGACCCACTTGGCCTGCCCAGGACAGATGAACTGGTCGATTATGCACTGAGCGGTGTTGTGGAAGTCCCCAAATTGGGCTTCCCAAAGCACCAGGGCATTGGGGCTGGCCATGGCAAAGCCCAGCTCGAATCCTGAGGGATGAGAGAGAAGCAAGGGGGTCATCCTCCCGGAGTGGCTTCACCCCCTGGCCAGTGGGTGCAGACCCCCTGGCTCACCAAGGACGCCGTACTCCGACAGAGAGCTGTTGCAGACGGTGTAGGGAGCCTGGTTGGGCCAGAGGTGGTTCATGGGGATACAGGTTCTCTTGTCCACATTCTGATCATGGAGGACGTGGTGGCGATGGCTGGAAGAGGAGAAAGCATTACTCTTATCATCACCCTTTGGGTCCCTTCTCAAAAGGCTGGAATTGCTTTTTACAGCCACCAAAAGCATGGATTTACCTGAACGTCCCCCTCTCAACATCCTGGCCACTCAGGCGGATGTGGATGCCCTCTTTGAGCAGGGAGCCAAATGCCATGTACTCTGCCAGGGCCCAGTCTACCGTCCGGTTCTTCACCATCTCCCCACGAGTTTTCAGAATACGGCTCAAACCTGCCAGGACAGCAGTGGGTTTGTAGTCGGTGTGGAAGGGAGCTCCAGTGACACCCTGTTTGTCCCTCAACCTGCCCACAAACTGACAGACTGCAAATGCTCAGGGCAGAGGAATAGATCTACCTCTGCCTGAGGGATGAACCAGGAACAAGGAATCAGGACTGCAGGGAAAGATCAGCCCTGAAGAAAAGCTTCTCCTTGGTTCACTTCCTTAACCACAGCTCCCTCGAGAACTGATTCTCATACACTCACGGAGTGGTTTGTGTTGGAAGGGACCTTCAAGGGTCACCTAGTCCAGCCCCCCCACCATCAGCAGGGACACCTTCCACTAGACCAGGCTGCTCAAAGCCCCCTCCAACCTGACTTTGAACACTTCTAATGATGGGGCATCCACAGCTTCTCTGGACAACCTGCTCCAGTGGCTCGCCACCCTCACCGTAAAACATTTCTTCCTTATGTCCCATCTAGACCTGCTCTCTTTCACTTTAAACCCCTCGCCCCTTCTCCTGTCACTACAGGCCCTGGTAAAAAGTCTCTCTGCACCTTTCTTATCAGTCTCCTTTTCTTATCAGTCCCCTTTAAGTACTGAAAGGCTGCAACAGGGTCTCCCTGGAGCCTTCTCTTCTCCACGCTGAACACCCCCAACTCTCTCAGCCTTTTTGCTGAGGAGAGCTTTTCCAGTGCCAGGATCATTTTTGTGGCCTCC